CAGAAGGCCTGACAAATTTTGAACCCTGATCTAGCGACCCCTTTAGTATTAGTTCAATTAGTAAATTAGTGTGATTAAAACAAGATTTCTTTCACTTATGTAATTCAGACTGTGCTTGCAAACAAACCACAGAAAGCTCGAGCTCTGCAAGGCAAGGTTTGGTTTTATTATTAATAATAATAATAATAATAATAATATCATAAAATGCAGATAAAGCCCAAACGCCTCCCTGTTTGCGGTCCTGGAATGGCAGGGCGATTGCTGCTGGTGCGAGCTTGTTCAGAGCTCTGAGCCCCTGCTCCTCTCTCCTGCAGCTCAAGGGGCGGACCATCCGCGTGGACCACGTGAAGAACTACCGCCCCCCCAAAGACTCGGAGGACATTGATGACGTGACCAAGCGCCTCAGGGAGGAGGGCTGCGCCCCCAGGATGCCTTCTCCTTCTTCCCCGGAGTCCGAGGAAGAGGAGCACACCGTGACTGTGAAGAAACAGAAGAAAGGTGAGCAGGAAGGCTTTCTGCCTGTGAGGAGCACAGCAGGGCCAGGAAGGAGTCCTGAAGAGAGGGGGGCCTGTCTTGTTATGTGCTCTAAACTGCTTAATTGGATCCCAGTTAAACTGTCCTAAGCCTGTCTTTGGACACTGATGGTGATATCAGGTGACCCAGTCCCCCTGAAGTAGGGCTTTGCATAAGCAGGGTTAGAAATCCCTCCTCTGTAGAAGAATGCATTCATGGCAGGCTGGCAGATAAGGACAGAATTGTGAAGGGCTGCCCAGCCTTGCTGTGTGTGTATTGCAGTGGGAGTCAGTCTTTTTCTCTGTCTCTGCGCAGTCCTCTAACCAAGGTGAAGCTGATCAATGAGCTGAACCAGAGGGAGGCGGAGCTGGGAGTGAAGGAGACGGTGTCCTGGCACTCGGAGTACAAGGACAGCGCCTGGATATTTATAGGTGAAGACAGACCTTCCTTTCTCTCCTCTGCATTGATCGCTGTTTATAAACTCGCATTATATGGTGACTGATGAGAAAGAACTACATTTGCAGTGGTGGAAGGGCAGATAAAATGCTCACACTGCTTAGGGCAATGGCTTTAAAGTTGTATCACTCCTTTATTGTGGATCCTTATTGCTGGACAGCTTTAGTGAGGCCCTGGACTCCTGACTGGAAGAATCCCAGATGGGGGCACTGCTACTGTACCCCTAAGTAAGACAGTTTATCCAGATTGTTCCAGCAAACCAAGCTGCACAAATGGGTACCAAAACCTGTATGTACAGGCTACCCTCTGTACTACTCCACCGCAGGAGTGACAGGTGATGGATAAAAATCCAAAAAGAACCTGGAAACAATTGGTTGTGAGGTATAAGTAGGCCAACAGATCAATTAGTTGATTCAGTTAAGTTATTAAGATTTCTTCTGGAAAAAAACCCAGGAGGCCCCTGTTTATTTGTCCAAGAGTGGGTGACTCACTTATCTGTGTTTTCATATTCCTCCAAAGTTAGTGATTCCTACTGGATTTGCTGTTATCTGTCAACCATGTGTGGGTGGCTGTTTTGACCTGTGTGTGTGGTTTCTGGCAGGTGGCTTTCCATATGAGCTAACGGAAGGAGACGTCATCTGCGTTTTCTCACAGTGAGTGTCTGATATTATACGTGTTTTCACCACCTCAGACCACGG